CCCCCCCCCCCCTCCGGCACCGCCGCCGCCGGGGGGGAACGGGCCCCCTCCCCGCGCGCCGCCCTCCGATCCAAATTTCCCCCCTTGGCCCGGGGTGTGTGGCACCCCCGGACTCCTGGGCGAGGGTGCCGGGGGGTGTGCGGCCTCGCAAGTGGGTGTCTGTTCGTACAGACTACCAGTGCGCGCGCGCACACACACACACACACACACACACACACACACACACACGGGGACGCGCAGGCATTGCATCACCAGGCCCAGGGGACCAGCGCGGCCGGCGGCCCGAGTCTACGTCCGTTCGTGCGCGCCCGCCTTCCGGAGAAAAGGCGGCGGAATGTGCCCCGGCCGCGCCCCGGGTGGGCTGGCCCCGGCGAGCAGAGTGGCTTGAGAGGGGCAGCGGGGCGGGACGCGGGTGGGGGGGGGGAGTTGGGATGGGCCGCACCTGGGGCCGGGAAAAACACCTGAGGCCGCCCTGGCTGGGTGTACCCGCCAAGGCGTGCAGGCGCCCGGCGAAGGGTCCATCCGAAGCCAGAGGAACGCCTCAGGGGCACGAGCGCCCGCTCGGGGGGCGAGGGGGGCGGGGGGGCTGGCGCACATGCACCTGCCTCTTGTCGCCCTCCCAGGCGGTGGGCACCGTGAGAAGCCAGCAGGCCATTGTTTGTCGGCCAAGCCGACGCGGTCCAGGGCGCAGGGGCGAGGCCGACGGGTGTGAGCGCGCGCGCGCGCGCGCGCGCGCGCGCACGAGCCGCCGCCGGCACCGAAAAATGGGCAGACCTCGCCGGCCCCCCCTTACCCTGGGCGAGGGGAGGGGCACGCTCACACCCAGGACGGGGCCCCATGCTCGGGTGCTGCTTTTGCAGGCCGGTGGAAAACATGAAAAAGCCCCGGCAACCGGGCCGTCAGCCCGGGGGAGAGGAGGGAGAATGAGCATTGAAAAGTAGCGTGCGGCCGAAGAAAAAAAGCCCATTTATATTGGCCACCCATTTCCCCCCCCCCCCGTTCCCCCCCCCCCCCCGGTCCTCCCCTGCGAAGTCCTAGGCGCAAGTGCCGGCTGCCAGGACCCAGCCACCCGGCCGGCCAGCTCGCCAGCCCGCAGTCTGGCCACCCGGCGTGGACTGGGGACCGGAAAAGGGTAGGACGCATCCTGACCCCCCGCCCCTCGGTCTTCCGCGCCCCTCCGGGTCGGGTGGCCGAGCCACGACCCGAAGTTCGCGCAGCCCCCGGCCAGGCCGGCGGGCCCCCTCGGGGGCGGAGCGGTGTCTACGGGACTTCGGGCATTGCTTGCGTGCTTGCATGTTTGCATGCTTGCATGCTTGCGTGGAGAGCGCCGAGAGCGCGGCGAGCGAGGTGTGGACGTGCCCTCGGCACGCGCGCGCGCGCGCGCACACACACGCACAGGCCCGCGCACCTGCCTGCTGGCGCACGCACCCGGAGTACATGCTGCACCCGCGAACGAGAGAGGGACCGGTCGAACATGCAATGGAGTGGCACCATGCCTTCAATTCCAGGGATAATGCAAAAAAGGATGGTAGAAAATTGGGCGTTCGTCTTGGCCTGCTTGCCTGCTCGGGGCGGGGGGGGGGCGGGGCCGGGGCCGGCGCCTTCGGCAAGTGTTCGGCTGTCGGCCATGCCGGGCCTCGCTCCGGGGCCGTTGGGGCAACCGGCCACGGCGGATGACCAAGGCCGGCCACACCTCCGCACCGGGGCGGGCCTCATCCATCCTTCCGGCGGCCCGGGGGTGGCCAATATGCCGGGCGGGCGGCCGCGCTTGCCGAGGGGCGAGTGCGCGGAACGGCGATCGGCCCGACCGGCGCTTTGGACCGCAAGCCCGCGACCCGACGCCCATTCGCCCATTGCCCATCGGCCGCTCCCAAGCTGGGGGCTCGCGCGCCGGCGGCCGATGGGGGCAGGCAAACAGGCAAACCCGCTCCGTGGCGTCGGGTCGCGGGCCCCGACCGGCGGTCACTTCGATGTCGCCCTCCCCCCCTCGCGCCCCGGCCGGCGACCGTCTCTCTTCGGCCGGGCCGGGCCGGGCCGGCCCGCCGGCCCGGGACTTCACGCCTCCC